ACGTCTTATACACCGGTGCGTCTTATATTCCGAAAAATACGGTATATATATATATATTATATATTCTAATCACCAAAGAATACATTTTATACCTGGCTGAGCAATTGTAAAACAATTTAAAGAACCTAATTATATGCTATGGATAAAACAATGTAATTATATAAAAGTTTATAAGGGGGATATCTTCTTTTCATAAATTTGTAAATCAATAACTTAATTCAATCGATTTAGATAGGTAAAAAAGGCGGAAATGTTGTTATTCTAGTGGTCCCTCAAAAAAAAAGATAATAAAGCAAAGAAGCAGATATGATGTCAAAAAACGTTTGACGAGTGTTAATCGCAGTCAAGCATTACAACAGTTGTTCTCGTGAGTGGTTTCATTTATCACAGTCTTATTACGTAGCCTTGGGGAATTTAATTGTGGCTAGCAAGTTAGTGCCATCTTCTGCTTTATAGAGCTGAAGATTAGTAAACTCAGAAGCATGGAGAATAATCGTTAGAATATGTAAAATAGAAGGCGTCAGGTATTTAAGAACTCCGTGTCTTTAAATTCACATTAATTTTAATCGATTGGTCGTGACGCAATGAAGGAGCCTATTAAAACTCCCTACCCTTTCATTTTCCTTCTATTCATGAATCGCCAGCTTGCTCAACGCTTTTGTCCTGACGCTGAAAATTATCTGATGGGTTACCGCAAACTGTAAGCATAGAGTATCTGAATGGAAAGGTCGATGAAACGCTATAACATAGCATGATTTCGTTCATTCGTTGTTCATACAACAATGCTGAACTCGGTGTAAATGGCAACACAGTGTTACTTCAAGCTGTTCACGTGACTGCTCTAAATAAAAACGTGTCCTAGAAGGAGTCGCACCATCGTGGTTAGAACTTTCAGAGTGGCACCATGCAGAGTGAACCCTTAATGCGTGGGTGCCATTTGGGTTGCACGGGCCAGCTGGGAAGATAATGAAAGGATTAGAGAAAATGTATCGTCTGGACAATGGTCAAAAGCTTTCTGATCCTATTTCTGTTACTGCAAACAATGAAACTCCCAAG